CAGGGAGTAATCTGCAGGGGAGTTCATCGACCCTGTCCTGCCGAGATGGATTGATTGGTGTGTAGGGCAAGAAATNTGAAACGATCTCTCAGGGCATGTAAAACAGAAGTAAGTTACTCTTTAAAAGGAAGAAATGAAGAAACAACAATTTTTAAAAGGATAACATGGATCAGCACGTCCTTGGAAAAACTTCAGATTATAACATTTGCTTGACTTTACCAAACAAATGATGTTATGTAAAGATTCTGATGCTCTTACCAGCTGTGCTACACCATGTCCTCAAACAAATAAAACTTTTGCAATGATTACTTGTACAGTTTATATATACAATCAAATATTAGATTTTGCTCATTCAAAGCAAGCAAGATAAGATAGTACCTTTTTTTTGGCTTCTCATCGTGGGTAGATGGGCTAACATGGAAAAATAGTTTCGTTCTTTTCATTGGGCAATATTCTTAGGCCCTGTTTGCTACAGGTTGTACACCTTAAGGATCCCTCAAGAGCTGGATAGGAAAGTATGTAGTATGCAATCCTGGCAAAATTTCCTTCATTGCACACCACAGGGCAAGGCGAAAAGTCAAGCTGGCTCTGAAACATTTAGGATGAGCAGTAAAGTTCTGTTGTGTTTTTCAGATTTGGTTTGATATGAATGAAATGGTTTTTACATATATCTGGTTGTCAAGATACCTTCGTGCATGTCAACTAGCTGTTTTTTTGTATTCAGGTATTGTTTTAGTTAAATACTCGCTGTTCTTTCTTGTTTTGTAACACAGATCTTACTATCTTTTATCGAGTCTATTACTACATCTGATATTTTAGTCTAAAAATAGGTTTACAGAGCATGTTTTAAAAATGAGGGCATATAATTATGTTATATTCTGAAGGACAATTGGAGAAACACATTCTAATTTTGCATAAAAATGTATCCAATGATGATTGTTCAATAAAACTGTGTACTATAAGCTAAGATTTGTATTGTTTTTTTTTTCAGTTAATCTTACACAGAGTGTTATGTCTTAAGTTATAGAAACAATAGATTTAAAGATAAATGATATAGAGAGACTTGTTGTTATATTCTGATGAAAGAAAGAATGAATGAAAGAGAAAAGGAAAGATTCTTCAAGATGTTTGATTGTATTGATAACTCAGACATGACGTTTGATCGTTTAAAATCGCTTTGATATTGAAATAATGCTGTACACTTTTTCGACATTCTA